TATAATGGAATTGCTTTGTATATTTATGGATAATTCTTACTTTCTATGCACTGAAATTTTATTAGTCTCCTTCTTCATGCTATATTGCTAATTTCCTTATCTCTCTATTTGATTAGATTGGTCAATTGTGCGGGATTATGCAGCTGAAGCTCAACAGGACCGGCATTTCCACTCTTCCACCACAAATAGTCTGCTGCGACCAATTGCGTAGTCTTCATCTTTATGGAAATCCAATCTCTTGTTTGCCAGATTCACTTCGTGGTCTGACGCGTCTTCAATTCCTGTGGATGGATGCAAAACGCTTTTTAGTAGCTGTTGAAGAAGGCATGACAGGTATATTTAAATCCTAAAGTCCATTTAAAGAGCTGAATATAATGTTATATGGTATACCTAGAGGATAGAGAAGGATTAATTGAATTTACTAAATTACCAACAATACTAGTTAATTATTTGTCCATTTTTTATCTTAATAACTTCTCTTTAAAAACTTTATTTGAATTAATATGAAACTTAAAATGATAATCTTTAGATCAGCCTTTAATGGCGGCATAATAGTAATAAATTAAAGTACAAAACTCTAATAATGATCATTTTAAATCATTTTGATATTCACCTTATAAGCTATGCAAAGTTTCGTGAATTATTTGAGTTCGTTTTGATCCGTTTTTCTGAATCTTATTTTAAGCTGTTTCATTCAAGAGTCTGAGAGAATTTCCCCTTATCTGGTCGCGTTAAATCCCCCACGTTTTAAAGTGATTGTGGGCTTTAAACATTTAAAACTCAGCCAAGCAAGCTTAAAAATGGTCAGAACTAGAATAACACACTTTCGAATAACGGGTTGTAATCAGGTAAGAATGCTGAGTGCTGCCTCGCATAATTTCTATTAAATTTAAAGCTTCCTGGAGGAGTATTGTATAAAAATTTCAAAGTTTTAATTTATAATCCCGAATCTCCAAAAAACATTTGCTTGCACTGCACAATAGGCATAACTTAACAGACCCGTGGAGAAAGAAACTGTTAGAAAGGTTGGATGAACGCTTAACAAACCTGAAGTGGCTTTATTTAAAGTCTTCATGCAAGATTATAAAGATATTTCATATTAGTTCGTCGTTTTCTATCGTATTATTCGTAGATAGAAATTTAGGTTTAACAAGTTTTGTTTTAAACCGTATAATGATATATTGTATTTGTATCAGATATTTTAATTACACCAATTGAAGTAAAACATTTTTGTAAAGAGAAGCACACAAGCTTGTTAATTACCCACTCGGCAAACTGATGAATGTTACAAC